GCTGATCTTTCCTTTCTGGCTCCCTCATCTCTTATCTGGACTTTTCCAGCAGCCTCCCCACTGTCGCCCTTCCTCAGGCCTCATCCCCTCTCCATTTGGGTTGGTTCTTTCTTTCTCTTTACCATCTCGTCCCCATATCCGGGCCTGCTTCAGAACCTTCCTGGATAAAGTACCTCTTCCTTAGCATGGCTTTCAGTCCTCGTGGACAGCCAGCCCCGGCCAACTTTCTCATCTTCCCCTCTGCCTGTGTCCCACGTGCTCCGTCCTCTACTTCTGCCCATGGAGCGTGCTGCTCCTCTAACATGCCGTGATATTTTTCTTGTGTGCTTTTTCACGCTCTGGATTTTTGTCTACCTTGGATTCTCTTCCTTTCTCATTGCCCCATCCCAGCCCATGACTCTGAATGCCTGGTAAGCCCCCTACTTATTATTCGAAGCCTAGTTCATTCCCACCACCCGAACCTCTGAACCAACTTAAGTTCATTCCCACCACCCGAACCTCTGAACCTTTCAAGTCCCTTCACATTGTTCTCCACAGTATATTCCTGTAGGGAACTCTGTAGTCAGAGTGCGTTCAATTATTTTTTTCCCATGCCTTCCCTCTCTCCATTCCCTACCCTCACCCTCAGATGACTGGAAGCCTCCCTAGAGAATCTGAAGAGCTTGGGTTGTGGAGTCAGACTGGGTGGGTTCAAAATCCCGGTCTTGTTACTTGCTTATTTGGTGACATTTGTTAAGTTACTTAGTTTATTTGAGCCTCAGTTTTCTCATTTATGAAACAGTGAATGCACCTTTCTTAAAAGGTTATTTTAAAGATTGGAATAATCTATGAAAGTGTTTAGCCAGCCCAATGCTTGGCACATATTAAATGCTCAATAAATATTACTTGTTGCTACCACTGTTGTTACATTTTTGTTACTATCATTTTTATTATCATTATATTATTTTTATTACTGTCATTACTATTGGAAGTGAGAAAGTATTTTTTAGGCATGACTTTTATTTAAAAATCTAATTAAAAAAATTTTTTTAAGATTTTATTTATTTATTTGACAGTGAGAGACACAGTGAGAGAGGGAACACAAGCAGGGGGAGTGGGAGAGGGAGAAGCAGGCTTCCCGCTGAGCAGGGAGCCCGATGCGGGGCTCGATCCCAGGACCCTGGGATCACGACCTGAGCTGAAGGCAGACGCTTAACGACTGAACCTCCCAGGTGCCCCCTAATTTAAAATATTGAAGTGTAATTGACTTATACTGTTATATCAGTTTCAGGCATATAATGTAATTTGATATTTGTATATATTGCAAATATATATATATAATGTATAACAGCACATTAAGTCTAATTAACCTCCATCACCATATTTAGTTATAAATTTTCGTGTGTGATGACAACTTTTAAGCTCTATTCTCTTAACAACTTTGAAATATGTATTAACTATAGGTATCATGTTTTATATTACATCCCCATGATTTATTTATTTTATAACTAGAGGTTTGTACATTTTGACCTTCCTCACCTGTTTCACCCATGCTCTGCCTCCTGCCTTTGGCAACCACCAGTCTGTTCTCTGTATCTGTGAGCTTTGTTTTTAGATTCTACATATAAGTGAGATCTTGAATATTTGTCTTTCTCTGTCTGACTTACTTCACTTAGCATAATGCCCTCAAGGTTCATTGATGTTGTTGCAAGTAGCAGTATGTCCTTTTTTTTTACAAAAGAATATTCGTGTGTGTGTGTACCACATTTTCTTGATCCATTTATTCATTGGTGGACACTAAGGTTGTTTCCATGTTTTGGCTGTGGTAAATAATGCTAGGTGAACATGGGTGTGCAGAAACATTTTTGAGTTAATGTTTCCATTTTCTTCAGGTAAATACCCAGAAGAGGAATTGCTGGAATATAGTGTAATTCTATTTTTAATGTTTTGAGGAACCTCTGTAGTATTTTCCATAGTGGCTGCACCAGTTTACATTTCCACCTACAGTACAGAAGGGTTACCTTTTCTCTACATCCTTGCCAACACTTGTTATTTCTTGTCTTTTTGATAATAGCCTTTCTAATATGTGATAATCTCATTGTAGTTTTGATTTGCATTTCCCTGTTGATGAGTGATGTCGAGCACCTTTAATGTACCTGTTGGCCATCTGTATGTCACTGGAAAGGTGTTGCTTTCTCATTTTGTTGATGTTTTCCTTTGTTGTGCACAAGCCTTTGATGTAGTCCTACTTATTTTTTATTTTGTTGTCTTTGCTTTTGGTATCAAATCTAAAGAATCATTGCCAAGACCAGCGTCACAAAACTTACTGCCTATGTTTTCTTCTAGGAATTTTACACTTTAAGGACTTACATTCAAGTCTTTAATCCGTTTTGAGTTAATTTTTGTGTATGGTGTAAGATAATGGTCCTGTTTCATTCTTTCATATGTGACTATCCAGTTTTTCCAGCACCCTGTATTGAACAGTCTGTCTTTTCCTCATTGTATATTTTTGGTTTCTTTTCATAAGCTAATTGACCATATATACATATATTTATTTTCAGACTCTGTTCTATTGATCTGTGTGTCTGTGTTTATGACAATACCATACTTTTTTGAATTATTATAGCTTTGTGATACATCATACACTTCAGTATCTGGGAGCATGATGCCTCTAGCTTTGTTCTTTCTGAAGAATGCTTTGGCTATTGGGGGTCTTTTGTGGTTCCATACAAATTTCAAGATTGTTTATTCTATTTCTGTGAAAGATATCATTGGAATGTTGATAGGGATTGCATTGAATCCGTAGGTTCTTAGGGGAGTATGGACATTTGCACAATAATCTTCCAATTCATGAGCATGGAATTTGACTCTTCAGTTTCTTTCATCAACATCTTATAGTTTTCAGTGTACAGGTCTTTCACCTCCTTGGTTAAATTTATTCCTAGGTATTTTTGGGGATGCAGTTGTAAATGGGATTGTTTTCTTAATTTCTCTTCTCAATAGTTTGTTATTAGTGTGTAGAAGTGCAACAAATTTTTGTCTATTGATTTTGTATCCTTGCAACTTTACTGAATTCATTTATTAGTTCTAATGTTTTTTGGTGGTTTTTTTTTTTGGTGGAGTCTCTAGGGTTTTCTATATATAGTATCATGTCATCTGCAAACAGTGACAGTTTTACTTCTTCCTTTCTGATTTGCATTCTTTTTATTTCTTTTTCTTGCCTAATTGCTCTGGCTAGGACTCCCAATATTGTGTTGAATAAACTGGTGAGTGTGGACATCCTTGTCCTATTCCTGATCTTTGAAAACTTTCACCATTGAATGTGATGTTAGCTGTGGACTTGCCCTATATAATCTTTATTATGTTGAGGTATATTCCTTCTATACCCACTTTGTTGAGAATTTTTTTTTAATGATAAATGGATGTTGACTTTTGTCAGATGGCTTTTCTGCATCTGTGGAGATCATCATATTTTTATCCTTCATTTTGTTAATGTGGTATAGCACATTGATTTGTAGACATTGAACTGTCCTTGCATCCTATTGATCATGGTATATTATCCTTTTAATTTATTGTTGAATTTGGTTTGCTAATATTTTGTTGAGGATTATTGCATATATATATATATATATATATATATACATATTCATCAGTTATTGGCCTTTGATTTTGTTTTCTTATGAATTTTCTTTTCTTTGTTCTTGTCTGGTCTTGCTTTCAGGGTAATGCCAGCTTTGTAAGATAAGTTTGGAAGTGTTCCCTACTCTTCCGTTTTTTTAGAAGAGTTTGAGAAGGATTGATATTAATTCTTCTTTAAGTGTTTGGTAGAATTCACCAGTGAAGCCATCTGGTCCTGGACTGTTGTTTTCTGGGAATGTCTTCTTCATCTTTATGTGGCCAACTTCTAGGACAATGCCTCGCTCATAGGGGATCATGGTAAATGTTTTTTTAAGGGTATGATAATAATGTCAACTAATGTTTATTGAATATTTACTATTTTTAGAGCATATGCTAAACACTTCAGATACATTATCTCATTTATTCTTCATAATAACCCTGTAAGATACCGACTGTTACTTTCTTCATTTAGCAAAGAAGGAGACCAAGAGAACTGGCTCAGAGACTACATGGCTAGATTGAGATCACATAGTAAGTAAGTATCACAGCCAGTATCTGACTTCTGAGCTGGTGATCTTCACCATAGGCTGCAATTGCTGTTTGATCATGGGCAAGTCACTTATCCTCTCTGGTACTTCTCATCCTCATTTGAAATTGTTGGGGCAAACTGGACCATCTCTTAAGTCTCTTCCACCTCTGCTCCTCTATTATTCCATTAGGAGTAGAAGACAGGTGTGCCTGGCTGGCTCATTTGGTAGAACATGTGCCTCTTCATCTCGGGGTCATGAGTTCAAGCCCCACATGGGACATAGAGCTTACTTAAAAGAAAAAAGAAGAAGAAATAGAAGACATAGTTATAACAAATGCTGTGAAGATGAAAATCATCTTAATAAAAGGATTTTCTAGTTCCAGTTAGTGTACCATTTCTCTCCAAATACGAATTATTACATTGAATTTTTCATTGAATCAAAGAGCTTTGATGGTTTCTTGGAGTTCATTGCCTTGGTATTTGCCCAACCCAGTAGACAGGGACCTTGATCACGTTCTTAGGTGCCAGGCTTAGAATCCACTCTGGCTAGCTGAGGCAGAAATGGAAATTTATTAAAGAATGTTAGGTGGTTCACAGGTTCTCTAGAAGCTGAGGAGTGTCAGACTGAAGCTAGGGACAAGGCCCAAGCCACAATGATGAACTGTCCTGGAAAAGCTTCTGGGTTGTTGTTGCCAGACACAGACTGCAGCTCACATCATGATGCCTGAGCCTCCCCTCTGGCTGCCTCCCCAGGCACCACAGGTCAGGCTGCTGTCCTCACCACAAAATGGATTCTGCATGTTACTCTTGTGAATAGAAGGCTTTCTGGCTCTAATTAGAGAAGACTGGCCACATACCTATACTCTATCTTCAGGGGAAGACAGGACCGTGGGCAGACGACATCTTCTACCTCCAGGAAGCAGGACTTAGGATGTGGGCAGCTTCCTAAACTCGAAAACACCCGGAAGGTACTGGATGACCACACACACTGGAATGATTGACTGTTACATAGGTTTATTATACTGGCTGGAGAAAGTCAGCTGGAGCTCAGCATACAGATGTGTGTCTTAAACCTCAGAACCTCTTTGAATGCAGACATTGAAATAATAACTGCTAATACTCTGTGCCAGGCCTTGTGCTAAGCTGTATACACACATTGTCCATTGAGCCCTCACAACAATCTTCTGAAGTTTCCACTATTATCCCCACTTTGTATTTTTAATGTCATCTTACAGTTGGGGAAACCGAGGCGCAGAGGGGCAGTACTGTGTTCTACACCACTCAGCTAGTAGGTGTCGGAGCGTGGACTTGAGCCCGGTGAGCCGCTGCATCATTCTGCCTCCAGCAAAGAGTTTATTGGGTTGAAGGCCAAACCCTGGTGCTGGGTCCCCACTGGCAGCAGCCCTCCTCAGGTCTGAATTTAGAGTGTGCCACAATCAAACAGAATTTCCCAGGAAAATAACATAAGCCAGATTTATAAGAATAACTATGCATGTTTATCTTAATATTGTTGAGGTCAGTAAGTTTCAGGAACTAGGATACTCCTTTATCTAGTTAAAACTGAAAGCTCGAAAATGCTTGGTGTCTTTGCCTTCTTCACCTTTGTGTGCTGGGAAATGGTCTCCATGGACAAAATATCACATAAACTCAGTTCCCCGGGGTCCTCAGTTAGTGCCATGCTGGTGCCTCAAGTTGAGAGTTGCTGTAAAATTCTGGAAACCTTGTGCAGGGAAGGAAAAGAGGTTTTTTTGATCCATGTAGGGCCCCTGGCAGGTGTGACAATTAAACTGACGAGACAAGTTAGCAGCAGAAAAGCATACAGATTTATTTAGTATAAGTTTTACATGGCACAGGAGCCTTCATAAGGAAATGAAGACTGGAAGAAACAGTTAACCCTGCACATTTTTATGCTGACTTTGATGAAGAGTGGCCAGTTGTGCAGAAATGTGATAGAACAGAGAATGTGAGGGAAGTGTAGCAAACTGGGGGAAACTTAGCAAGTCCTGCTTGTTTGGATTCTTCCCCGTGACCCTCCATCCTGGCAGTAAAGATGCTCTTTTCCTCCGGGTGTAGAGAATGCACCTCTCACGTCTTAAGACCTGTTTCAGGGAGAAAGATGAGAGAACTTTATGCTTCTGCTGCTTTTTTCACTTTCGTTCAGCTTAAAATACTGAATATGTGTGGTGCCCTATTGTGGAATAGTAAGTCCTGATCCCTGTCACTTGATAGAAAGAGTTCCTGTTCTCCCTCCTTCACATGTACTCTGGCATGTCTTCCAAACAGAATCAGCAGCCACTTTGGAGAAACAAATATTTGAAACAAAACAACCCCACCTCCCACCTTGCCATAAATACATGAGCATAAACTCTAGTTGTGAAATTCAATGCTTATTTGGCCTGAGGCTAAATCATAAAGGAGTTTTACGGCCCCATTCAGGATGGAGATAAATGCACAAATGAAAATACACATACTTGCGGAACACACACAATTAATGATGGCCCGAGGGAAACATCCTCCCTCCCCAGGCCGACAGCTCTTTTGCTTGATCCTAGTTAGAGAGAATTGGCAGGAGGCAGGAGGGAGGGGATGCTCGGTGTGAGATGACAACTGAATCCAGGAGGGGAAGGAAGTGAGAGGGGAGGCCAGAGCAGAGGGCCATAATTGCATTATGAATTCCTGCCTATTCTGAGCAGATTGTCCCCAAATTTGTCATTAAAAGTGCAATTTCCTCTATGAGAAGTGTCTTTCCAAGGATCCCAGGAAAGATGAGAACAGGAAGTAGGGTATCCAGTTATTCATGTTGGTAACGAACTTGATTCTGTATTCATTATTTATGAATGCTGTATTCAGCCGAAACTTTATTTAGTAATAAAGTTAGTACTGCCTTTTTCCCCCTTCATTTGTGGATTTGTCCAACAGACACTAAATTGCCCACTAAACAGAGACACTGGGCGTACCAAGGAGGTCCTGGTTCTGCCCTCAGATGGCTACGCTCTATCAGGCGAGGCAGACATTAAGCATCTAGTTACAACTATGTAGTTGCCAGGTTGATGTGTGGCTGTAATGAATCAAAGACTGTGATGAGAACGGGTCACAGGAGCAGCCGATTATGTCAAGGGTCAGGGAAGACTAAGCTGGGGAAGTGACATTTGAGTTGAAACTAAGGTAAAGGATAAATACTAGGGACGAGGGAGAAAGAATGAAAAACAGGCAATCTGATGTAAAGAATGTGTTTGGAAGGTGTAGCAGTGGCTTCCAAGCATATGGGTTTGTCATGTTTATTTTCATCATCCTGGCATTAGCTACATGAGAGTTTTTCCGAGTGTCATTTATGAGCCACCTGCTTCAGAATCACTGGGATGCTTGCTAAAAATTCACATTCCTGGGCTCCACACTAGGCCACTCAGTCAGAATCTGTAGGAGCAGGACCCAGCAATCTGCACTTTAAATTCAATACATACTCCTTCCCCCAGGTGATTCTTTTTTTTTTTTTTTTTTTTAAGATTTTATTTATTTGACAGAGAGAGAGAAGAGCAGGGGGAGTAGGAGAGGGAGAAACAGGCTCCCTGCAGAGCAGAGAGCCCGATGCGGGACTCGATCCCAGGACCCTGAGATCACGATCTGAGCCGAAGGCAGATGCCCAACCGATTGAGCCACCCAGGCGCCCCTCCCCCAGGTGAGTCTTAACACATACTCGGTTTGACTTAAGCGCTGCTTCCTAATAGTAAATGGAGCTTATAATTCTTTCAGGGGCTTCCGCTTATAATCTCTTTGATCCCACTGCAACCTTATGTGGTACACAAGCTAAGTATCGTTACTCTCTTACAGGTGATATAACAGAGACAGGTGTAGAGATTGACCCACTCATCAATGTGCCTTGTGCCCTTCTCCTTATACCACACTGTGTCTCAGAGGTGGATTACAATGACCACATGCCCTTGACAAATGTGATATAATATACCCAGGAGTGGATTATAAGCTTGAACACATACTTATATTTCCCTCATAGTGAGGAAATATTATTTTTGACCTATCACCTAGTAGTTAGCAGATCTGAAGTCAGACAGACCTGGAGTGTAGTTCCAGGTCAGCCACTTACTAACTGCCTGACCTTGAACAGATTACCTAACCACTTAATACCCCATGACCTTATTTGTTAAGTAAGGATAAAGAATTATACCTATGTCTTTGAGTTGTTATAGAGATTAAGGTACTGTGTGTAAGACACCAAGTGCAGAGCTTTTGAATACTTATTAAGTACTTAAAAAAAAAAAAGGAAGCTGTTACACCTATAATATTTAGGACTCATTTATATGTAGTAGTGTTACCAACTAACTGAAACCCAAATGAAAATCTTAAGAGATGTCACACATAGAAGGTTTAAATAATGCTATAAGTCATCCATGCAAAAACATCTGAGACCACCCAGTATCAGTGAGCACATCTAGTGTCCAAATCTTGGTTTCTAAATACCATTTCTCACTAAAAGACACCAGGTCTTCTTGGAGACATGTTGATTTAAGGTCTGGAGAAGGGAAAATACAATGTGAATCTGGAACATTTTATTGTGTCACAAAATAATGAAGTGCTGATGAGGATATGTCAGAAAGATGGAGGGTGCCTGGCTGGCTCAGTCAGAAGAGCATGAGACTCTTGTTTTTGAGGTTATGAGTTCAAACCCCACGTTGGGTGTAGAGATTACTTAAATAAATAAAACTTAAAAAAAAAAAGATAGGTAAGCTGAACCAAACTGGCTCCCACTTATCAAATTTGGGACAGTTTGAGCATCAGAAGGATAATGACAGTGATGTTGACTGTAACACATAGAGGAAAAAAAAATCCATGAATTCTCAGTAGTTATTAAGACAATGGGATAGAGCAGGGAAAGCTTTTTTTCTTTCCTTTTTTAAAATAGAATAACCACAATTTTATGTGGAAGGGATTACAGTTAGAAAAGTCAGGAAAACACTCTATTGTAACACTGTTACAATCATGGATTCAGGCAAGGATCATTACTGGAGGTTAAAACGTTCTGTTAAAGGTTGTTGGGAAACAAGATATTCACATAGTCTTAAAGATTACTTGTATTAATATTACTTACTTTAATATTTTATAAAGAGAAAAATGTGTCTTTCCTATGGTGACATCTGGTAAATACCATCTAATCAAATGACCAAATTTAGTATCACCAGTTATGAGACAAATTGATATTATATGTCCTCTAATTTAATGCAACAGGAAGTATACAATCTCACCCGTGTGGTATTATTGCCAAAACTGTCTAACCTGAATCAAATTATAGGAAACAATCAGACAGACTAGCAAGGACATTCTCCAAGACAACCAACCTGTGCTTTTCAAATATTTTACTGTTGTAAGAGATAAAAAGGGGAAAAAAAAGAGGATTTCCTTGAATCTAGATTAATGTTCTAGAATTAATTTCGTAGGATTTAGATGAAAGGAAACTAAAGACATGATGATTCAATTGCAATGTATATTCTTTGACTGGATCTTGGTTTTTAGAAAATGTCATAAAACAACCCAAATGTTCATCAATTGATGAATAGATGAACAAATTGTGGTATTTCCACCCAATGTGATGTAATTCAGCTAGAAAAAGAAATGAAGTACCACTACATGCTACAACATAAATGAACTTTGAAAACATTATGCTAAGAGAAAGAAGCTAGACACACACAAAAAGCCACATATTTTATGATTCCAATTCCATGAAACTTCCAGAACAGACAGAAAGTAGACTAGTGGTTGCCAAGGGCCAGGTGAGGGGAGAATGGAGAGTGACTGCTAATGAGTTAATGGGTTGCTTGGATGTTGAAAATGTTCTGGAATTAGATGGTGGTGATGGTTGTACAAACTTGTAATTATATTAAAAATCTAAATTGTATACTTTAAAAGAGTGGATTTTATGATATGTGGATTATATCTCAATTGAAAAAGCTATTAGGACATTGGGACAGTTGGGGAAATTTGAATATAAGCTATTAGATATTTTCTAATGTTAAGTTTCTTGAATGTGATAATGGTTTTGTGACTATATAGGATTATATATATGTCTTTGAGTTGTAGGAAATATTTAGGGATGTATTTAAGTATGAAGTATTTAGGCATAAAATGTCATGCTATTTGCACTTTCAAATGAATCAGAAGTAGTAATGGGAGGAACACCTGGGTGGCTCAGTTGGTTAAGAGTCTTCCTTTGGCTCAGGTCATGATTCCAGGGTCCTGGGATCAAGTCCCATATCGAGTTCCCTGCTCAGTGGGGAGCCTGCTTCTCCCTCTCCCTCTGCCTCTCCCCACCGCTCTTGCTCACGCATGCGCTCTCTCTGGCAAATAAATAAATAAAATCTTAAAAAAAAAAGTAATGGGAGAAAGCAAATGTAGTAATAATTTAACAGTCAGTGATCTAGGTAAAGGATATATATGGGTTCATTGTATTATTCTTATATCTTTTTTGTAGCTTGAATTTTTTTCAAAATAAAAAGATGGTGGGGGGGCCCATTTACTGGGTGTCTGTTACATGCCAGTTAGGGGATGATAGATTTTTGTGGGATTGTGACAAAGAAATGAGGGATGTTGTGGTGCAGCCCTCCCTCCTTTCTGAGGGAATGCTTAATGGAGAGTGAATTGTACGCTTCCCTTCAAAACATCTCCTGCTCCCACCAGCATCAGAGACAAATAATCAGGCTGTTTGTTTTCCAGGAAATTCATTCTGTTCTTGGGCTTCATAGGTAGAGTGGGTCTGCTAGCACGTCTGACTTGATAGGATTGCCTGGGTGGGGTGGGGTGGGGTGGGGTGGGGTGGGGGGTCTTAAAATCTTCCAGAGAGCCAGTGTTAACTAATTAGCATTAACTAGTGAAATCAAAAGGGTAATGAGATGCAAGTCAGCTGAATGTGAAGGCCTAGGAACTAGAAGGAAGAAGGAGGCGGGCATATGCACATGGAGTGCAATAGGCAAAGGGTCAAGGCCAATAACCCAAGTTTGGCTGTTGAGTTTGAGTAATAAACGGAAGCAAGCGGGGAACAATGTCCTGGCCCCATTTGCAGCCTCTCAATAGCGAAACTGATGCTTGGGATTCTCCTTGTTCCAGCCTTGCTCTTGGCTGGTGGTTAGAAAAGGGACTATATGGTGTCCCATATTGTCCTACCTACTCACACTGCCCCTCTTACCTGGGGAATCATTGTCATCTGCCCAGCCTCTTTTTTTTTTTTGTCTTTGTTCCATTATTTTTCCCTCAAGGATGCTAGGAGAGAGTCTAGTAGAGCTGAACTAGTATTTACTCTTAGAGCGAGATCGGGGGTGGGGGGAGTTTTCAGCTTGCAGGGGTTGGAGATGTGGAAATGGCTGAGCAGCAGCAACATAAGGAAGGTTTTGTGGGGCTCAGTGGGGAGGGTGGGGAAGACTGGATTTCTGGTTCACCCCTGACCACTAGGGCCTTCTGTTTTTTAAAACAGACGTGCTTCATCGTTCCCAGAGCATGGGCCAGCCATTGGGAACTCAAAATGCAAAGTCCCAGTCCGGGAAATTAAGCTGCAAGAGCTCAGTGCCTAAAAAATATTGACTGTTTCTTTTTTTAAACTAATATTCCAAACTTCTTATGAAAGTCAACTTAGACATCCAGGACACAGGAAACAAGGCAAGAGGCCACAGCCAGCTGCCTCAGAGGACCCAGGACACTTTCTTAATAACATCCAGATGGTTCCAGAGAAATTGTTAACATCTTGAAAAAAAAAATCAGCTGCAGGAGAAATGAGATTCAAGTGGTTTGGGAAGGACAGCCTGGAGGAGAGTCCCAAGGGACTGAGAGAGGGTCTGAAATAGAAGACTCTGTGGTGGGATTACTGCTTCCTGTGGCAAGGCTGGAGGGGAGTGGGTGTAAAAATCTAGAGCTTCTAGTGGAGCCTGGGGGTTGGCAAGAGAGCCTCAACAGAACGGGCCTTCTGGTCACGTTAAGCCATTCAGTAACCTGGGTTTGCAGTAACATTTTACATTAATATTTTTTCTTCTGTTTTAGAGAGGACTGTTTACCTCCCAGTCTGGTAAATCTATGAGGCTCCATAGGGCCAGGTCCCAGAGCCCACGGTGTTTTCAGGGCCTATGGCAATATTTAACCCTGAAAAAATATTACATATGTAATATATTTATAGTCATCTATATGGTATATAGATACATAGCAAAATACAAATATATTTTTCAGCATATGAAAGGAAGTCCACAGAATTTAAATTAGTATTGTCTAATTAAATGCCTATGATACCTAACATTGTGTCAACTTAGGAACTAAGTTTGGTGCTCATTAAAACTTTATTTCATTTGAAAATAATTTGTATGTTAGATTTACTCATTTCCCCAGCATCGTTTAGACCTTAGTTCTTTGGAGCCAAATAATTTTAAAAGTGAAATTCAGATTTTTTTAAATTATTATTTTACCAGGGAAAGAAACATACATCTTTAACCTGAGATGTGTTTTGTTATGTTTACATCAAGGAGGGCATAGAGTGGAGTTCTCACATGAAAAATCAGGAGCAGAGGGGCCCTGAAGGCCTTAACCCAGTCCTAGTTTTCTAAGAGGTGTGTGTTTTTTCCTCTCCTTCTCAGTTGCCTTCCCCCAAGGAAGAGGAAGTGGCTTGTTTGTGGAATGTAACTGTTTGCACGCAAATCTCTTACTTGGAACCAAAAGTCGGGGAGAGGGATGTAGGAGCCACCGGCTCAGGGCTTGATCAGCATTTAGCAAGCCTGTGCATTTTCCACTCCCCACAACATGTGTCTCTTACCTGGGTCACTTCAGAGCCCGTTAGAGCAGTCTCCTGCCCCCGCCCCCCAACTCCGTCTCAGGGTTTCCGCTACTTGGACAGGATCCGGCTCCTTTGTCTGACAGTGACAATAAGAGATTAGAGCTGGAGGGGGGGTGGTGAGGGCCAGTTGCCTGGCCTTCCTTGCATCTTCCACATCCTAAATTAGGAAGCATGCAGGAGTGGGGAATGAACAGTACGAATATACACATCCTGGAACTTTTGGTCTCGAATGCCTAGGTATTTAGTATGAAAATCATCTGTGTATAATTGCCAAAACAAAACAAAAACAAAAATAACCCTCGAAACACCAGTAACAGGCACCAGAATTTTCTGCAACAAGCAACATTACCAAAGAAAGACCAGCAAAGAGAGCTCAGAACTGGTTATGGAGCATTAACCAGGTAAATTCATTAGATGGAGCCATCTCTTTCCTTGGGAGAACATTGACATTTAAGTTTTGGCTTCTTGGGATTCAGCTGGAGCACTCTTAGGTGGAATGCAATGACTCCTTCCTTCCTCCCCAAACTGAAATCCGGGCTATTACAATTCCAAGTGGACACAGAGTCCTGCCAAGTTTATAGGAAATTGGAATGCCAGTGTAGGTTCCCACCACTAGGGATAGCAGAAGCTGAGTGCTCAGAGAATAAGTAGCATTTCCCTTGTGATTCCCAAACGTGTCTATTTTTATTTTAAGAGATTCTGTGTTTTCAGTTAGTTTTGTGAACGGAGGAATCCATATGGAATTTTTACCAACTCTACTAAAATAAAAGCATGCAGCTTCTCAGCAGTGCTCAGAAATATGTACAAAGATTCGGTGATAGGTTGGGAAGAATTGTAGACATTCACTTTTTGAAAATCAACCCATTTTCAATGGGTGCCTTCTAGGCACATGGCAGACTACAGTATCAATTGCTAAATCCATATATGAGAGATTGCCTTTGATTTGGCATAATTCATCATTCAAAAGAAGTTATAAGTAGCTGCTCTGAAATGAGCAGCAGGTATTAATTTAATATAAATGAAATATAAATATATTTTATTAAAGTGCTGGATTTGAGGGGGTGGATTGAGGAAAGAGACTCAGAAATAATACAGGTGTATTTTTGTTCATAATTTTCAGTAAGATTTCTGTGACTCTTCTATTAACGTAATAGTCATAGATTAATAACTATTTGAAACTATGTTATTCATTTGTTTGCTTATTTATGGTATATTCCTCTCAGCTTCTTCAACTTCCACCTCAATCCCCATGTTCCCTCTGTAACATAAGCTCCATAAAACAGGGAGCTTACCTATCTTGATTCTATACCTCCAGAACTAGAACAGTTCCTGAGTCATAGTAGGTGCTCACTAAATGGTTTTTCCTCTTCAGTCATTCAATAAATTAATTGTAGTAGGTTAGTAATGAGAAAACTAAATACGTTAGTAATGAAAAAAGACATTGCGTATATTCATACAGATGACTGGGTCTTCTCTTGTTACCTGCGGCTGTTGTTTTCGCTTTATGCTGCACATTTAACTGTGCAGCGTGCAGCATCCTTTGTTTTTCAGGTATTTGCTCTGTATTCTAGGGAGGAAATATCCTGTATTTATGGGGATTACACTCCACTGGGGGGAGATGGACAGTAAAATGAATATATATTTTGTCAAGTAGAGATAAACATTGTGAAGAAAAAGTAGGATAAAGGGGTGGTTAGGGAAGGTTTCTGATCGGGGGGCATGGAGAACTCTTTGAAGGACGTGAAGGAGTAAAGTAGGCAGATAGGTGGAAGAAGAGCAGTGTTAAGTGCCTGCCTCACTCGTGGAGGAGCCGGGAGGCTAGAGCAGAGCAAGAGGAAGGGTGCAGGAAGTGAGAGATGGCATCAGGTCACAGAGGGCTTGGAGGCCTAGTATACGGACTTGGACTTGGACTCCATGTGAAATGGGGAGGCTTCCAGAGGGGTCTAGAGCCAAGGGGTTCCCTGACTTGGCTTAGGTTTTCAAAGCTGAAAATCATGGGTTGGGTGGCTTGTCAGACCAGGTGGGAGGCTTTGTAGTCATCCAGGTGAGCAGGATATTTTCCTGGATCAGTGGAAGTGATGAGAAATGGTCAGATTCTGGATATGCTTTGAAGGTGGGGCCATAGGATTTGCTCGTGGTTTGGAGATGGGATGTGAGAAAGGGAGCAGGGAAGGCCTCGAAGCTTTCAGACCTAGTCCTTGGCAGAATAGCCTGGCCATTTAGTGAGATAGAGGAGACTGAGAGATGCACATTGGGGAAGAATGCAACAGTTGACGTGGCGGCATGTCATAAGTTTGAGCACCTTGGTAGAACCTATGGGGCAGAGACGCAGGATGGGCATGATGACCATTGAGTCCCAACTCGCCATGGGCCCAAGAGGAGGTGGGGTCAGTGCCAAGCTCCGCAGATGCTGAAATGGAGTGGTCACAGATCCTCAAGTCTGAAATAGAGCTCTTCCATAGTGACCGGGGAAATCCACAGAGGAGCCTCTGAGCTCCTACCTCTGAGTCATCCACAGGCACCTGGATTCAGCTCTTGCCTTCATTCCTCCTTAATAATGTTCTGTTCCTGTATCTCTACACCCTGATGCTATTTATTGATCAAAGAACCGTAAGGTGACTTGTTTTAAACAACAAGGAGATTAGCTAAAGATTTAAACATTTGACTTTTTACCGCTAACTGGTGGGGCCCACAGAATAAAACCAATGAAAGCACCCTTGTTTGAGCTCCTAGTGAAGAGCTGTCCTGTGTCTGAGAACCTGCAGTAAATGATGGGGACGGCAGGGGCAGGGAGGCATCCAGTCCCCACCTTGCAGAGGCTTCCCTCAAGCCCTGGTCTTTGGCAATTCCGAGGATGGGCAGCCAGTAGGAATGTGGAGAGAGCCGGCCCCAGTCTCCTCTGAGAGTATTTAGTCCTTCTTAACCTTGGGAGTCTCTCAAGTCCCGATTCATTTATGGCTGTTGACACTACTGTGCTTAGCCCCCAGGGATCCAGTGTAATCAGCTCTTGAATTTCTTTTTCCTTGAACCTAAATCTGAAGCCCCATGGGCCTTTCCCATAGCATAAATAGCATTTTATTCCAGGGCATATTGTCTCATTCACAGGAAATAGTCTCTGAATTACATCACAGACCAGTTCTACTGCATTCTGTTGACGTTTATTGTAGGACTATTGTGGGAATGACATGGTTCCTGTCCCCAGTAGCTCCTGTATCCCATCCATTATGGAGACGGGGTGGGGGGGGGGGCGTGGTACACAGGTGGGTGAAATTCCAGAACACACTGCCATCCTTTCAGTATTAAAATAATAGCAAAACTTTTCTCTAAATGTTTCCCTAGCTAAGACAGACAGACAGACAGATAGATAGATAGATAGATGTTTCCCTAAGCTTATAAAGTTGGGTATATGGCAAGGCATGATACTTTTCCTTACCTGTGTCATTTGCTGAGGTGATAAAATAAATTCATCTTTGGAAAGTAGGTTGGGGGGCCTGGGGAAATAGATTAGATCAATGTTGCAGAAACCACTAGCCATCTCCAGTGTCCACCCTTACCTTGTTCCATGGTAATAACATAGAACCCCCAATTTTGAGTGGTGCATATAGCCAGATGGCATTAAGACTGCATTTCTTGGCTTCCCTTGCAGCTAGGTAGGCCAGTCGATGGAGTTCTGGCTCAAGTGAGTAGGTAAAAGTGTCTTGTGGCAGCTTATAGAAAATCCAGTTAAGGGGCGCCTGGGTGGCTCAGTTGGTTGGGCGACTGCCTTCGGCTCAGGTCATGATCCTGGAGTCCCTGGATCGAGTCCCGCATCGGGCTCCCTGCTCGGCGGGGAGTCTGCTTCTCCCTCTGACCCTCCCCCCTCTCATGTGCTCTCTCTAATTCTCTCTCTCTCAAATAAATAAATAAAATCTTAAAAAAAAAAAAAAGAAAATCCAGTTAAAAGATGTTATTTGTGTACACTCTGCCCCTTCTTCCTCATATGTTCTTCCATCCTGCTCCCTGAAATGTAGAAACTGCCGTCTTAAACCACGAGGTAGAAGCAGTGCATGATGGAGCAACAAGGTAGAAGGCATAGCACACCATACCCTGACTGTCTTTGAGGCCTTTTATATGAGAGGAAAAAGAAATTTTATTTAAGGTATTGTTATTCGAGATTTGCTAGTCCTCGCAGTTGAACCGAATCCCAACTAATGCAGTTAGCTCAGTTTTGCTCTGTGTAGGCTGCTCAGGGATGTGCTCCACGGTGTCTTTGTCTGCTGACAAGAACATGTGCCTATTCCGAGTCATTGAATCCTCAGTCACTCCACGTTCCTATGTCGCCAAGATCATTCACAAAATCCTAATGCAGTGAGCATCACCCTTACTCATATATCGAGAATTGAAAATAATGGTTTCATACCGAATGTGTTTTGAGTTCACGTGTTCCCCTAGCCACAGGGACTTGTCCCAGTGTACACACTGTTGTCTATTACTTTTGCACATCTGTCACTTGGACTCTAGAGGTAGGTGAAGAAAGCCAACCAAGTTTCTTTTTTTTTTTTTCTAAAGATTTTTATTTATTTATTTAACAGAGATAGAGAGCGAGCACAAGTAGGCAGAACGGCAGACAGAGGGAGAAGGAGAAGCAGGCTCTCCGCCGAGCAGGGAGCCCGATGCGGGGCTCGATCCCAGGACCCCGCGATCATGACCTGAGTTGAAGGCAGCCGCTTAACTGACTGAGCCACTCAGGCGCCCCGCCAACCAAGTTTCTAAAGGCAGATGAGAAGAGCATCTCCTACGACTTGAGGCTGCTTTTTACTACAGAAGTAACACATGTAAAAAATTCAAATGGTACAAAGCTACGGACAGTAAAAAGGTACTCCCTTTCCCCAGTCCCACTACCTAAAACTCACTATGTTGGAAGCTTTGGGGACAATCTAGAATTTTTCCATATATAGAGAGTCCTTCTTTTAAAAAAAAAAAGGTATAAATATATATATTTATATACACACACATATATATACACATACACACAAATATATAAATGTATGTATATATACACATACATAACATAAATGGGAACATACTACACATACCATAATATACTTTGTTTTTTAGATTTAATAATAATTCTGAACATCTTTCCAAAATAGCATATGTACACTGACTTCTGTCTGATGTATGTATCTCGTTGTACAATAGATGTCCTATAATTAATTTAACCAGTCTCCTGTTAATGGACATTTGTTCCCAGAGTTTTGCTATTACAAACATTGCTACAACAGATTCACTATATGTGTATCTTTGTGCATGTGTCCCAATACATCTGTAACGGTAACTCATACCACGCCACCTAGCAATTCCAATTGCTAGGTGGCGTGATATGATAAACGTGTAAGTTTATCATAAGCCCTGTGCATTTACACTCCCACCAACAGTATAAAGGCTGCTTTTTAAACTCAGGTTCCCATCAGGAACCACAGTTTGACATTCACTTTATTCCCTGTTCACTTATTACTTTTGTTATTTGGGTTTGTGTTTAGAGAAAGCAGGCAGGACGTCTGACTTTTCGAGAGACAAATGAGAAGCAGGTGAGTGATCTCCTTCAGTATAATACTGTGTATTGTTTAAAGTGCATTGTGAGCAAAAGTTCCACTTTATTGCTGAAAAGATGCAAGTGATTTTTTTTTTTTTCTGTCCAAGTTAGGAACATATTCCATTCTGAAGAAATGAAACAGCTAGCTGAAGAGCTATGGGGAGAAAGGATTAGGGATGCAACTAAGAATATAAAGGCCAGTCTCCTAGATCCCAGTCTCCAGAGAAGTTGTTCCACCACAAAGACAAAAGGGACTTTGAATATCATTGGACATGGAAAGATACCTTATGTAAGGGCTGGGAGAAGGTCCAGATTTAGGGCTTATTCAATATCCTGTGATCTCTAACCACCTATGCCTACATTTAACACTTCCCCTCTTTCCTCAGCATCTTTTAAAAACAACCTTTGAGTTTGCATCAGTGGTAGGGTGGTCATGTAGGTTTCTTTTTTACATCATCTCCAGTTCCCAGCAAGCTTCTTAGAGAAATGCTGAGAAGAAAAGGAGAAGCTTTGCATCTGTTCTGCCGACGTCTTCCTGCTCCCTGGACTCCTACCTGTTGTCTATCTAATTTAGAAGAAGAGTGATTTTTATCAAAGCAGGATGCGATGAGTGGGAGCATTTTCCCTGTGCTGGTGAGCGGCCGCTCAGAAGCCCAAACCCCAGCCTCATGTCAGGGGACAGGCCCTGCCTGGCATTCTTGGCGAGGCTGTCTTGGAAGTAGGTAGCACCCTCTCCTGGGCTAAATCCAAATATTTTCTATTTGTCCTGAAATCATCTAGGATAATAACCGACATTTACCTTTCTCTGGCCAGCTCTGCCCCATCACTGCCCCCTCCTGGCCCCATCTATTTTTTTTTTTTTTTTTTTTAATGCTACCCTGAACTCTTTGCGAGTCCACAGGAATAACATCTGAGATTACAACTCCCATGTGTTGGGGAACAAACACTTACGTGAGTACTTACCATGTGCAGGACACCAGGGCAAGCGTGTGAACGAAGGGAAAGAAGAGCTTGTAGTCAGTATAGATGAGGAATATGAAGAATGAATACCTAAACGCACAGAAAAGACTATTTTAAACCATCACAAGGCACCGAGTGTGCTGAAGGCACCCTGGGTATGGCAGAAATCCCAGAGCGGTGAGGTGAGGTCTGTGGCCTGGCAGTCCCTTTGTGACATGCTAGGAGAGGACTTGCCGATAGGGTGGTCAGTCCTCACCCGTAGTAGTGTGGACGTAGATGTACTGGAAGGTTCTTTTATTGATCAAGTGAACATAAAACTGGACATCTTCCCCCCAACCCCTACCACCACCATCCACATTCCTCTTTTTTCTTCACCAGTCATTAGACTCCTCATTGACATTTGCAGAAAAATAAGAGATATTAATGGCATCTTCTCAATCCCACTCAGCATTCTAGTTTCTGTTTCATCCAGACGTTTATTCTAATTGGCATGCAAGTTCTGCTTTATTTAGCTCTGTCTATATGCTGAAGACCATGGGCATTGTCCAGTTGATCTCATAAATCGAGTATTATGTCTGTTTTGCTTGTTCAGTTTTCAATTCAATAATGATAAAAAATAATAATGAGAGTGTCACTTAGTGAGTCCTTACATGAAGCCAGGCACAGAATAATTTCATCTTTTTTCGTCTGATGCTTGCAGTTACCTGAGGGGCTAAGAACCATCTTTATTATCCCTGCTTTTACAGATGCGGAAATTAAGGTTCAGAGGCGTTCAGTAACTTGCCTAAGTGGCAGGGATGGGATGTGAGCGGTGAGTCTAGCTCTAGAGACCTTGTTCTTCTCCACGGTGTACATTATATACCTGAGCATTCGCAAGTAATTAATAAATGTGCCGCTAAGAGACTAAAGAAATAATCATGTTCCCAGGTACAGTTCATTTCCTAAATATTAATGTGATTTGGTGTCACGGGATTGAGCTAGGGAGGAAGTAGAACATTTCTGAGGTCTTGGGAGCTTCTGTCACTAGAAGAGGCTGTGAGGGCAGGATTGGCTCCCTCTCATCTCTCAGAGCACACAGCACAGACCTTCGGGTCATAGCCAGGACCTGATGAATGCTTTCTAGGTTCCAGAAAGCGCACTCGCTCAAAACCCAGCATGCTGTTTCATTGAATCCTCAACCCCACGTACAGAAGAGGCTCAGAAAGGTGAAGCACCCGGCCCAGGGTCACATGGCTAGTGGAGCAGTGGACCGAGGACCCTTGACCACTGCTCCCCTGGACTCCTCAGGTGCCATGTGGGAGCTTCTAAGAGCCTTGCTCCCTCAGCCCATGTAGGAAAGATCAGATTATCCCCGGGGCCCCTGCACAAATGTTCCACTACCTCCCAGAGGATCCTCTCTGCATGGAGGGCTCCAGTGGGCAAGACGGGGGCTGGGAAAGTTTGCTGGTTCTGAGGGCTCAAGGGAGTGGGTCTGTTTGAGGCAAACCCAGAATGGGCCTAGAAGAATCATGTCAAGGCCCAGGAGAAGACTGCAGATATATTTGAACTCAAAGTCTATGAAATGTGTCCTCCCATTGTCTTCAGGAGCAGCAGTGGGTCTTGTGATTCCCTAGCACCTAATTGTGCTGGTCACACCACTGGTACTTCCTACATACAAAGGAACGAACGAGTGAGCGAAGGAATGAAAGAAGGACCAGGAGAAGGCAGACACTGTGTTTGGGTAGGAGTCTGCTTAGGAATCCCTCTCCTCCAGAAACATCTATAAAATAATGGTTCTGGTTGCGTTAATGAAAAATCTCCATAACATCCATTTTCAACTGGATTTTGAGTGGGGCGCTCTGGAGACAGAATGCCTGTGTTCTGATTCTTGTCCTGCCACTCTTAGCTCGTTACCTGTGGCCAGTCACTGACCCTCTGAGGTCTCAGTATCCACTGCAGGGTTGCTGTGAGTTCATGCAGGTGCTGCGTCTGGCTGGAAAGCGCCAGGTCCGGGAATCCCAACCCCAGTGGGACAGGCCTGCGGAATCCGTGCGGCCCCTGTGCTTTCCAGCGGCAACAGGAAACTTTCTCCCTCGGCATGTGAGCGTAAAATTCTCAGTCCCAAGTTGAACCCAAATGTAGAGCGGCAAACACTTGGCCCCAAATATAATTTCCTCCTGCAGCTCATTGCAGCCGTGAGGAAACCGCGGGGGGAGGGCCCGGCAGTGTGGTGTGGCAGCCCCGTAATTTCCAGAGCCCTTCTCCTAGACTGACACATAATTGTCAGATTGTTTTATGAGAGCTGCTTCCTGCCCCCTTCCTGCCTCGCTTCCAAATGTGCTCATTCCCGAGGAAACATCACCTCTCCCTCTCGCCCTTAATCGCCCCTTTCCTGCTCACCCCGGCCCTGGGGCTGGGGTGATTTCCTAAATCACTCAGCTCGGCTTCCAGGGCTGGCGCAGGCACCCAGGGTGGGCTAGCAGAGAGGCAGCATTTGTTCTAAGTGGCCTGTGACCTGGAGGTCAGAGATGCTTCCATTCTGTTTGATGTCTTTCCCGGGAGGCCTTCCCTCACTCACCTCTTCTCCTTTCCTCCTGAGCTGGCTTTAATTCTGAGGTCAGGAAGAGATTAAGGAACTGAGTCCTGCTGCTTTTTCTATCCATTGTGGTGGTAAAGGCCCAAGTGGGTCAGGGGCAGGCAGGCTGGAAGTGACAGGGGTCTTCAGCCTCATCCACATCCAAACTCGGGGACTCTCCGAATATTCCATTTAGAGCTGTGTTCTGAAAGATTCATCCAAGAGATTCCTCTCCTTATGGGCACTTTCCCCTCTGCCTCCAGACACTCGTTCTTAAGAAGAAATGTTAAGTCCTAACATTTTCCCCCCATTTGAGAAATTTCAGAGGAAGCAACATGGTTCTTTTTGTATTTTAACTACATTTTTTTTTTTTATTACTAAAGCGTTACACAGTCATGGTAAAAATTTCAAACAGAATCGTTTCCAGACGTAACCACAGTTTAACAGAATTTTGTATATCCTTCCAGAAATGTTCTAGGAACCTACAAGCATACAAATGTATATATATTTTTAACACAAATGGGAGCATATTGGACATCTTGTTCTACAACTTGTTATTTTTACTTAGCACATTTTGGATGTTTCCTATTTCAGTAAATCTAGATTTACTAAAAAAAATTGCCAAGTGGTGTTCTCTTGTGTAAATGTACTAACGTATTTAACCAGTTCCATTCTAATGAATATTTCAGTGGTTTCCACTTTATTACAAACAATAGTACAATAAGTATCCCAAATCTATATCCATATCCTGTATTTTTAGAATAACTTCCACTCAGAGGTGGTTTTGTTTGTTTTTTTTTTGGGGGGGGGGTTTTAATAGATTAAAGGACTTGGGAAGATAAAATCGTATGGATGTTGTTAAGTTGTGTTTCAAAAAGATTTGCCGGTTTAAACTCAAGAGTGAATGTATGGGAATGCCTGATTATGCATCCTGTCACCAGTACACGTATAATTACACTTTTTAGCTTTGCCAGTGTTGAAATAAATGAATTTTATGATTTTTTAAAGTAATAGTTTGTTAGGAGTGGGCTTCCAATCTTACTCCCAAATAATGAGCATCTTTTTGTATAAGCTTTCTGCTTGTGTAAGTTTGACTCTCTTCCTATTACTTATCTGCCTCTTATTGACTTGAAGATCTCTTTATATCTGAAGGAAAATAACCCTTTTCTGGTCTTAGGTATTATCAGTAGGTCCTCACTATATCAGCTGCCATTTAGTTTTGTTTATGGTATTTTTTCCATGTAACCTCTGAAAATTATTTAAATGACAAATTTTTCAAAATTATCCATTTTTTCTTCATTTTTATTGTTACTGTTTTTTTGGTTCTGGACATGCTTAGAAACTGTCCCAGAAACTAAGATGTTGTTATTGTTGTTGTTTTTAATCACCCATCTTTCTATTTTTTATATTTAAATCTTTAATCCAAGTAAAATTTGGGGGGAAGACCAAATCATCCCATAGAGATTGACTTTATGTCTCACTTGTCAAAACAGTTGTTTCATACAATCCATTAACTAATACATCTTTTCGAGAGGAGAGGAAAGATGGCAGAGTAGGGGACCCTATTTCATCTCGTCCCCGGAATTGAGCTGGATATCTACCAGACCACTCTGAGCACCCACGAAACCAGCCTGAGATGTAAGAAGATCTGGATCTCTACAAACAGAATATCGCAGGTGGTTGGTTTTGAGGTACGAAGCGGGGAGCCGTGATTCAGTGGGCAGATATCAGAGGATAAACGGCAGCGGGAGGGTGCCTGGCCGTGGGGATCCTACACCGCCGGTGAGTGACAGCCTCGCGTGCTGGGGACAGGGCACAGACTCGCAGACCAGTAGCTGCGGGGAAAGGACTTTAGGGCAGCCCCCGGACGGAAACCCGGAGCAGCGGGGTGGCGTGCGCGAAGTGGGAGTGGCTGGCGGTTTTAGAAGCACAAAGGGCAGAGACCTGCTCTGACCTGGAGGCAGGACTGGGGGCGCTGCGGAGGGGCGCACAACCCAGGACGCTGCAGTTTATAGCAGCACGGACAGAAACGGAGACAGTGTGGCCTGGAGAGCTCAAAGAAGAACAGACTGCTATCTCTCTGCTCTGAGGCAGAGGGTTAGAAGCGGTCTCTTCTGCTCTGACTCGCGGAAGAGACGCAGAAAGCCGCCAGGGAAAGCCACCAGAGAACAAAAGCCCCCAAAACTGATTCCCGCTGAGCCCATCCCCCACAACAGGGGGGCAGGGCAACTCCGCCCATACAGGGTTGCCTGAGTAACAGCGCGGCAGGCCCCTCCCACAGAAGACAGGCTGGGAAAATAAGAGGCCAGCAACCCTAAGGTCCCAAGAAAACAGGTGCATCTTGCTTGGGTTCTGGTCAATAATTTGGACTCTATACATTCCCTCAATCACCCATCAACAGAATGACTAGGAGGAGGAGCCCCCAAAACAGAAAAGACTCAGAGATGATGACTTATGCTGCAGATTTACAAATGGATGCAGATATAACCAAGATGTCAGAGATGGAATTCAGGCTAGCACTTGTGAAGACAATGGCTAGAATGGAGAAATCAATTAATGGCAACATAGAGTCTCTAAGGGCAGAAATAAAAGGGGAATTGGCAGAACTTAAAAATGCTATCAATGAGATCCAATCCAATCTAGATAATCTAACAGCTAGGGTAACTGAGGCAGAAGAACAAATAAGCGATCTGGAAGACAGTATAATAGATAAAAAGGGAAAAGAGGAGGGCAGGGAAAAACAACTCAGAATCCATGAAAATAGAATCAGAGAAATAAGTGACACAATGAAACGTTCCAATGTCAGAATGACTGGGATCCTGAGGGGGTCGAGAGAGAAGAGGACTAGAAGATGTATTTGAGCAAATCGTAGCTGAGAACTTCCCTAATCTGGGGAATGAGACAAACATTCGCATCCTAGACGCAGAGAGGACCCCTCCCAAGATCAAGGAAAACAGGCCAACACCCCGGCATGTAATAGTAAAACTTGCAAATCTTAGAAGCAAGGAAACCGTCTTAAGGGCAGTTAGGGGGAAGAGATTCCTTATGTACAGAGGGAGGAACATCAGAATAATGTCAGACCTATCCACAGAGACCTGGCAAGCCAGAAAGGCCTGGCAAGACATATTCAGAGTACTAAATGAGAAGAACATGCAGCCAAGAATACTTTATTGGCAAGGCTTTCATTCAGAATGGATGGAGAGATGCAGAGCGTCCACGACTGGCAGAAACTGAAAGTATATGTGACCACTAAGCTGGCCCTGCAAGAAATATTAAGGGGGGGTTCTATAAAAGGCAAAAGACCCCAAGAGTGATATACAACAAAAATTTGCAGGGACAACCTATAAAAACAACGTCTTCACAGGCAACGTGATGACAATTAATTCATATCTTTCCATAATCACTCTCAACGTGAATGGCCTAAATGCTCCCATAAAACGGCACAGGGTTGCAGATTGGAAAAAAGACAGGACCCATCCATATGCTGCCTACAAGAGACTCATTTGAACCTAAAGATATATCCAGACTGAAAGTGAAGGGATGGAGATCCATCTTCCATGCCAGCGGACCTCAAAAGAAAGCTGGGGTAGCAATTCTTATATTAGATAAATTAGATTTTAAACTAAAGTCTGTAATTAGAGACACAGAAGGACACTATATCATTCTTAAAGGGTCTATCCAACAAGAAGATCTAACAATTGTAAATATCTATGCCCCCCAACATGGGAGCAGCCATTTACATAAGCCAACTGTTAACCAAAATAGAGTCATATTGATAACAATACGTTAATTGTAGTAGACCTCAATACTCCACTCTCAGCAATGGACAGATCATCTAAGCAGAAAATCAACAAGGAAATAAGAGCTTTGAATGATATATTGGACCAGATGGACCTCATAGATATTTACAGAACATTCCACCCTAAAACAACAGAATACTCCTTCTTCTTGAGCGCACATGGAACTTTCTCCAGAAAAGACCACATACTGGGTCACAAATCAGGTCTCAACCGATACCAAAAGACTGAGATTATTCCCTGCATATTCTCAGACCACAATGCTTTAAAACTGGAACTCAATCACAAGAAAAAATTTGGCAGAAATTCAAACACTTGGAAGCTAAAGACCACTCTGCTCAAGAATGTTTGAGTCAACCAGGAAATCAAAGAAGAACTTAAACAATTCATGGAAATCAATGAGAACGAAAACACATCGGTCCAAAACCTATGGGATACTGCAAAGGCGGTCCTAAGGGGGAAATACATAGCCATCCAAGCCTCACTCAAAAAATAGAAAAATCCCGAATTCACCAACTAACTCTATACCTTAAAGAACTAGAGAAAAAGCAACAAACGATGGCTAAGCCACACATTAGAAGAGAAATAATTAAAATTAAAGCAGAGATCAATGAATTAGAAACCAGAAACACAGTAGATCAGATCAACGAACCTAGAAGTTGGTTCTTTGAAAGAATTAATAAGATCGATAAACCACTGGCCAGACTTATCCAAAAGAAAAGAGAAAGGACCCAAATTAATAAAATTATGAATGAAAGGGGAGAGCTCACGATTAACACCAAGGAAATAGGAACAATTATGAGAAATTATTATCAACAACTATATGCCAATAAACTGAGCAATCTGGATGAAATGGAGGCCTTCCTGGAAACCTATAAGCTGCCAAAACTGAAACTGGAAGAAATTGACAACCTGAATAGGCCAATAACCACTAACGAGATTGAAGCAGTGATCAAAAACCTCCCAAAAAACAAGAGTCCAGGGCCTGATGGATGATTCCCTGGGGAATTCTATCAAACATTCAAATAAGAAATAATACCTATTCTACTGAAGTTGTTCCAAAAAATAGAAACAGAAGGAAAACTTCCAAACTCATTCTCTGAGGCCAGCATTACCTTAATCCCCAAACCAGGCACAGACCCCATCAAAAAGGAGAAATTCAGACCAATATCCCTGATGAATATGGATTCCAAAATCCTCAACAAAATCCTAGCTAATAGGATCCAACAATACATTAAAAGGATCATCCACCATGACCAAGTGGGATTTATCCCTGGGGTGCAAGGGTGGTTCAACATTCGCAAATCAATCAATGTGATAGAACACATTAATAAAAGGAGGGAGAAGAACCATATGGTCCTCTCAATTGATGCAGAAAAAGCATTTGACAAAATACAACATCCTTTCCTGATTAAAACTCTTCAGAGTATAGGGATAGAGGGAACATTCTTCAAGTTCATAAAATCCATCTATGAAAAACCCACAGTGAGGGGCGCCTGGGTGGCTCAGTCGTTAAGCATCTGCCTTCGGCTCAGGTCATGATCCCAGGGGGTCCTGGGATCGAGCCCCGCATCGGGCTGCCTGCTCCGCGGGAAGCCTGCTTCTCCCTCTCCCCCTCCCCCTGCTTGTGTTCCCTCTCTCACTGTCTCTCTCTCTCTGTTGAAAAATAAATAAAATCTTTTAAAAAAAAAATTAAAAAAAAAACAAAAACCCACAGTGAATATCATCCTCAATGGGGAAAAGCTGAGAGCCTTTCCCTTAAGATCAGGAACACATCAAGGATGCCCACTCTCGCCACTGTTGTTCAACATAGTACTAGAAGTCCTAGCAACAGCAATCAGACAACAAAAAGAAATAAAAGGTATTCATTGGAAAAGAAGAAGTCAAACTCTCTCTTTTCGCAGATGACAGGATACTTTATGTGGAAAACCCAAAAGACTCCACCCCCAAATTACTAGAACTCATACAGCAATTCAGTAATGTGGCAGGATACAAAATCAATGCACAGAAATCTGTTGCTTTCTTATACGCTAACAACGCAACTGTAGAAAGAGAAATTAGAGAAATGATTCCATTTATAATAGCACCAAAAACCATAAGATACCTCGGAATAAACCTAACCAAAGAGGTAAAGGATCTACACTCTAGGAACTACAAAACACTCATGAAAGAAATTGAAGAAGACACAACAAGATGGAAAAATATTCCATGCTCATGGATCGGAAGAATAAACATTGTTAAAATGTCTATGCTACCCAGAGCAATCTATACCTTCAATGCCATCCCGATCAAAATTCCAATGACATTTTTCAAAGTGCTAGAACAAACAATCCTGAAATTTGTACAGAATCAGAAAAGACCCCGAATTACCAAGGAGATGTTGAAAAAGAAAAACAAAGCTGGGGGCATCATGTTCCCCGATTTCAAGCTATATTACAAAGCTGTGATCACCAAGACAGCATGGTACTGGCACAAAAACAGACATATAGACCAATGGAACAGAATAGAGAACCCAGATATGGACCCTCAACCCTGTGGTCAAATAATCTTTGACAAAGCAGGAAAAAATATGCAATGCAAAAAAGACGGTCTCTTCAATAAATGGTGCTGGGAAAATTGGACAGCCACATGCAGAAGAATGAAACTCTACCATTCTCTAACACCATTCACAAAGATAAACTCAAAGTGGATGAAAGACCTCAATGTGAGACAGGAATCCATCAAAATCCTAGAGGAGAACATAGGCAGTAACCTCTTTGACATCGCCCACAGCAACTTCTTTCAAGATACATCTCCAAAAGCTAGTGAAACAAAAGCAAAAATGAACTTTTGGGACTTTATCAAGATAAAAAGCTTCTGCACAGCAAAAGAAACAGTCAACAAAACAAAGAGGCAACCCACAGAAAGGGAGAAGATATTTGCAAATGACACTACAGATAAAGGGCTGGTATCCAAGATCTATAAAGAACTTCTCAAACTCAACACCCAAAAAACAAATAATCAAGTCAAAAAGTGGGCAGAAGATATGAAAAGACACTTCTCTGAAGAAGAC